ATTCACATACTTGGCCGGTAGATACAGTACCAGCTATGAATCAGTCACAGACTTAGTGACAATAGAGACGTCTTCGCAAATAGGTAAGCTGACTGTTTTCATAATTTAAAGTATTACAAAACATACATTGCGTATAACTTCTTCCAGGTAAAAAAATAAAAGCAGCAATGGATTAAAACCCTGAGAGCAGATGTTTAGCTAACTATCTAGCGACAAAAAAGGACAGAATTATAGAGAAGTTATTTCTATTCTCAGTCTAAATACGTTAATTGTACTGCAGTCGCAATATGATCATATGTTTTAAAATAAGCTGGCTACCCAAAAATGGCGTGAAAACACTGAAGTTTAATAAGAAACTTAAGACCAAATTCATATGAATTCAATGAAGAGGGAAAAACGCAGTGTTAATCGGAAAAAACACTGTAGCCGAAATATCGGCAATATCAACTTATAAAAAAATTAATTTATGTAATCTTATTTAAACTTCCATATAATTACTAGCATACCGAAGTAACCGAAGTGTCCCTTGAATTGAAATGGGAAAGATTAATTGCCTTATTTAAATATTTTGTTTAAAATAATGCTGATTTGTGCCTAAATTCACCCATTAGCCATGCTGAGCAAATTTGATCTGCCTTTAACAATGGTAATATTGCCTAAATGGAAATGGTAAATACAATAAAGCCGTATGCAATTACTTTTCGCATTAGAGCTCTCCAAAACTTATCAAGTTTATTCCTGGTCTGTAAAACATTTAACTTAATTCTTAAAGGTATGACGAGAGTAAAATACTCAGTTAACTTAAAACACCAACATAATACTAGCCTTTAGTCCTGCCTGCATTCTCCTCGAGTCTTTTCTGAGTCAAAAGGACAATAAAATTGATCTTGTGAAAATCATTTTTATGACTTGAAGCAACATAGCCGAAATTAAGGAGCATAAATTTATATGAAACCTTGTGTTAGTGGCATAAAAGTGCTACATTTCGTTCGTTTTGATGAGAACAATTCAGGCCCTCCTCACTTCTGTAATGATCTTCGTCCCTTATTATTTTCTTTGTGCCATTACACTGACTACCAAACACACCTCAGCTCCTGAGCCGCCCAAGAGGGTAAATTCCTATGAAAGTACAGCGACTGAATTAACGATCTACGTGACGCCGAGCCAAGAAGCACTCGCCCACCGGGTCATAGTAAATGGTCAAATTCCGAGTCATCCTGACGTTTATGTGACGGGCCCAGATAAAGTTCGACTTTATATAGTCGATCTTTTGGCCTGCGTCTCATATGAATTACAATTATATGCCGTCAGTTATACGGGTTTATCTAATACTGCTGTAAACACCAGTGCCAAAATGGGTATGCACATTCATTTATATTATCTTTTAATTTTAAGCCCCTTTTTAGGGTGGGCCCTTTTTTAGCTCAGGGATCATTCCTCTTCTTAGGAAAAATTAATAAGCAGATAACATAGGATTAAATTAATCTCCTAAGCCAAATAACGCGATAACCATGAGATGATTTCATTCTATTTTGTTTATGGTGATGATGGACTGGTAGTAGAATTTTCCCACAATGATATCAGTAAAGCTGACGTTTCCATTGAATTTCACATAGCCTTGTTTTCCCAAAAGTTGTTCTCATGAAAGTCAAGAAGCAACCAAACAGTGCATTTTTGTATACAACTTCTGATGCGTAAAATCAGATGGGCACACTAACTTCAAATAAAATCCATACTAAAAAAGTGAATGTTAAAAGCACTTGAGTCCACTCACTTATATGGTAATTGGCACAATATGATGTTTATAAGGTTCCCTGCTGGGCCTGGTTCTAGTATTAGCGTTTAAAACCCGAAATAAACCACAATTAATAAATAAAAGCTAGGGGCTATAAAAGAGGTATCTACATATTCATTAGTTGTGACTGTTTGATTCCATTGCTAACTTGATAAAATATTAATACTCACTAGATACAGACATTTGTTTATGCTATAGCTTGATTCATCAATTAATAAGTATGATTAAAACTACCTATATTTATGCCATGAAGCGAGTTGTCTGAAGGGCAACCGGATTTCTTAGGTTCATTTAGAAATAGGGATTTGGGGAAACCTAGTTATTTAATGGATTTGCCATACATATTGTTTGATAAATTGAACATTTTAACAATCTAAATAAGGGCAATTTATGGCGAGTTATTTGGACCCAGCATAAATAAGGTTACATCTAATTATGGGTTTTCCCATTTTCATACCTGCATTCTTATTGTATATTTTAGCACCACCGATGTTATTTGGGGTTCAGGCAAGCCTAGATACGTCCGCTTCAACAAGTATTTCTGTCTCTTGGGCACCAGCGGACCCAAGGATTGGATGCCCTTGGATCTACGCCATAATGGCCTATATTGATACAAATCTACCTCCTGCCTCTATCGTCTACGTTGATTCGGTCACGACATGTAAGTTTTTATTGGTTTCGATCAACTGAACAGTATGGCTTATATTATCGACATTACTATGAAAGAATAAGGAGAACAAA